GGTAAATTGTGCTTTTTTGCTTAAAATATGAAATTCTCATCTTCCGGTTAAGGTTTTTATGCCTTTAGTTAACCTACATGAAATAGTTGTAGAATTATAAACAGTTTAAAAGTTGTTTAAGTGACGCTAACTTAATTCTTGTTTACCATAGCAGCCATATTAGTTTACTTTTTTTAACTTAACATAAGAGTGAATTAAGTCAGTTTCTGCACATTCAGAGTCTTTTTGCCGAGTGGGACCAGAAGTTAAACCCACGGAAAAATCTTCCTTCTCGCCTGCTGGACGAATTGCTTGTTTTTGCGTAGAAACTCCAATTTTAATTGTAAAAATTATTTTTTAATTGTTTTAACTGCACTTGGTGTTTTATATTTTTCTATATTTTTAATTTTTTAATAAGATATTTTGAGATTTTATGCATTTTTGTCTTGTTACGAAGTGAACTGAATTAACTGAATGAGAAATATATCTCTAATGAAATTCGAAGTTTTAATGAAATGGAGATAAAAATGCGTATGGTGTAATATTCCGTACAAGGAAGTCATGTGGTGTACACATCAGATTTTTTAGTTTTGTTGTTCTCATTCGTCTGTTCTTGGTCTGTCTACAGTTGTCCTTGTAATCTGCTATTACAAATAAAAAAAAAAAAAAAAAAAAAATAAAAAAAAAAAAAATTATGAATGAAGAAATTTTCGTTCTTCAAATTTTGTAAACATTAGTATATTATCAATATTTTTTACATATTTTTTCTTATCTCACAAGAGAACAAACATAGTGTTATAATTTTTAACACTTAGTTCATAAAAATTGAAATGAAGCTCTGCTCTGAGAGAAGCTCCTAGAAAAACATCTGCTTATGAATATGAAAAAAATGGCTCCGATCTCTACTTATTTGTATGATTTTCTCTAAAGAATTTCCCTCGCGTAACAAGCGATTGAAAACTAAAACGGCTCATTCATTCAAAAGCCATCGAACCTCTTGCACTAATGGAATGTTGGCTCTTCAAATGATTGACTAATATTCTGTGACAAAACCTCTATCGAAACACTACTTACTACCAAAACATTCAAAAAATGGTAATCAAAGTTGTTCTTTTAATTCCTCTTCGACACGTGTTCCTCCTTTTTCAAAAATCAAGTTTATGCTTTAAAGATGAATGTCATACTTCTTAAAATAACGTGTCTTTTTTCTTTTCTTTCCAAGCCATTCATTTCTTTCAACTGTCTTTTCTTTTCCTTCAAAGGATGATGTTCTCCAGGGATCTTTCAGGTCGTTAAAAGTTTTCTCAAGCTCCTAGATGTGACGCTTAATGTAGCGAAGCGATAATGAAGCGCATCGAAGACTCAGGCTTCGATTTATTTTTTTGCAAGGCGTTCGAGTGCCCATTAAAATGCTAATTTAAGGACAAAGTGTACGCCGTAAGGCTTTGTTGATAATGACGTGTGACGGGAAACATCTACCCTTGAAAGCTCTTCTCAGCTAAATGGCTTAATACTTACAAAAATGTCTCTGATTTTTAATTCTACGAGCACCGCATGTGGTGCTAGGCGAGTTAGATATAATAAGCATCTGCAACAAAGCTGCAAAGGAAAGGATAACAAGCAACGAAAGTACGAAGGTCTGTTAGTTTATATAGAGAAAAACCTATCTGCTCGTCAAAGAAATCTTAGACAAAAGCGTTTCATTTAGTATTATTTAGGATGGAAAATTAAGGAAGGGCAGAATTTTGAGATTATTGATTACAAGCGTTCTAATATACGTATTTCTCTTAAGTGCAAAAAATTAATCAATCTAAATTGAAATGATATAATTCCAACTAAGTTTCCTCTTGCTCAAACTTTTCAGGTTTCTCGGGAAAGATCTTTACGTGTCGTATGGAAACGCTTTAATCATAACTGCGGCTAATCACATATTATTGTAGAATGACAACGAACTGGCTTGCATGATATCGTAAAGTCGCTTGTAGAAGTGGCCACTTTCATAGATCACATTTGAAATCGATTAGTATGTCTTAGGGTATTAATCACTTTAGACCAGTGATAGTTTCAGTACAAGACAAAAGCACCTGGATTGGAGTAGTTACTTGAATTATGGTAAAATGCTCTATTGCTATTTGCCTAAGGCAATGGATGTCTTCGTGGAGAACGTTTTAACCCTTTGTGGCACAGTGCGTCCGGTCTGGACACACCTAAAAATTTCCTTCTGTACGCACAGAAAAATTGAATAAAGGGATTTATAGGTTACTCTGAACCTTCTTTATTTATAGTAGATGGCAGCTCAACACGAACGAGTCCATATATTTTAGCCATATTTAGTTTTTTAAGACCCTCAGTTTTCAAAGAAATCTTCCAGATTTTTTTAGTGTATAAAAGGAATTGTTTGAAAATAAATTTCTATGTTATTTTTTGGCTGTATGCTGATCTTCTTATTCTATATTAGTTTTAAATTTTTGCCTTGAAATATTGCCTAAAATCAAGCGGCGAACCCTAGGTGGGCCCAGACCGGGCTCACCGATCATCCAGGACAACTGAGAGTCTGTCTTCTTTGTTTCTCCTCATCTCATCGGTCAGTTCATTAACAACAATGCTCGTTTCAATACTCTTTTCGAAGCTCTATTCAATCAGTGTGCCCACTTTGGGCACACTGATTAACCCACAGAATTAAACGATAAGAGCTACGTTCACAAAATTTTACTTCTGTACTCCTCTAGGCCTAATTAGACTGCCTACGTTTTTTTTTTTTTTTTTTTTTAATCAAAACTCCAACTTTAAAAGTTAGCGTGCCGGAAAGGGTTAAGGGAAACTGGCTCATATTAATGTTACACAGAGAGAAAATCATGAAAACAATCAGGCAGCCAACCCGATCTCCGGTATTTGAACTCAAATCGAACTACCGTGTTCAGCAATCTGTACTACTCGGCCGTTGGTGCGCAAAGCAACACCTGGAGTTGTGGGTGGTCAGTGTCGGAAACGTTTGCTGTATTTATAAATGCTTCTGATGTCACATGCCTCCGGTTATTGTTTTCATTTACATTTTTTTGTCACAAGAATTGATAGGTGTTTGTGTTTCGAAGACGTACAGGAAATTATGTACGCAAGAAAACTACGAAATGAAATTATTTACTTTACGATGAACGGAATGTTATCCGAAACCCAGTGGTTAGCTAATCTGAACTCATAGATGTGGATTCGAACTTTAGCTTAAGATTTGGTTGTTTGCGTATCCTTCTCTTCCTGTCGTAAATGCAGTAACCGTCTACCTCCTGTGGTGCACATGAAAAACGTTCTCGATAATAAAGCTAATATCAATTAAGTTTGACTATTGCCAACGAAGACAAGTATCTGGCCAGTGGATTCAAAAAGGTTTGGAATCATTTCCTGAAAATCCAAAGTCGCGACTCCATGGCTGCATACACCACGGAGTATTCTGGATATTCTGAGTTGCTGAATGAATGATTCGATAGTAAGAAAGCTTTAAACCAACAAAGTTCTCACTGAAGTGTGGTGTACAGTTTACAGAGGACTAAATGATTTGAGAAAGCCTTCGTAATTCCTGTCTTCCCTGGGCAAAGGTTTCGACCACTCACAATTCCTTTCTTACTCGATACTTCTATTACTCGCCGCTGAGCAGGCTCTCGACCAGGGTGTTCACCATACGGGATTATCACCTGCTCGTCGGACTGAATCTTCCTCCGGTCAAGCCGGGAAGACAGTAGGATGCTCCTTGCAGAACTCCAAATACGTAGCTGGACAATCCTCTCATGTGTGCTTCCCTGACCGGCATGGTGGTTTAGGCTGTCGGTTGCCGTCTTGCTTAGAGTGTTCTTGAAATCAGAATATAAGGCAGAAAATTTTGTATTAGGTCTTTGCGTATGGTGTCGCTACCATGCCACTAAGTCGCCCAGCACGTATATTCGTTACCTACGCTGACATTCGCATCGGTGGGCCCGAGATCGAAAACCCGAATGTTTGTAAGTGGGCATGGACGTTTGCAAGTGGACGTAGTGTGTACGCGGTAATGGGGCACTTAAAACAGAAGGCGAGCCGAAAGTCCTCTCGAGAGGTTGATGGTAGGAGAAAAAGGGGTAGGATATTCTCATACTGCTACCTAGGGCGTTCCTTTTCGAAAGTAGAACAAAACTGCATAGTTAGTGCGGCGGGACTATAGCTGTGCGACCAATGGGAAAATTCTGGGGTTCCTCTCACTTCTAGCTGTGCCATGTCTCTACCGTTGAATCGAAAATCTCATCCAGAGGTTGGTGGTAGGGGGAAAGGCGTAATGTATTTCTGATCATTATCTAACAGCAAAATTTCCGCAACAATGAGCTTTTATAATAATGATGTTCCATCAAAAGAAATGTGAAGTGTATTGTGTCCTGAGATCTGTTTTCTACTTTATGAAACACGTGCAGAATAATCTTATACTTTGCCTTTGTATGACTTTGCCTTATGAATGCCTTGATTTTGGAGTGTAGCTTTAGATAGCTGCGGGATCCGGACGAAACCCGATTAGTCAATGCTAGCCGCCCGGATTTTCGGACCTGCTCTTACCTGTCATCTGTACATCCAGTTTTGAGCTTTTTAGGTGATAGACTGAGGGCGAATCCACATTCTAAACTAAAAATCATCGATAAAATGCGTTCGATAAATTTAGGAGAGTTCGCGAACTTTGTTAGCGGAATTAAGGAAAACACATAGTTTTAAAACAAGAGCATCCAGATGGCAATCTCCATCCAATTGCTTTTCATCCCAGAAAATTAAGATCTTATGAACAAAATTAAGATCGTATGAACCGCCCGGCAAGATTTATATATTTCTTAGCATCTGACTAAATGTCAGTGAAAAACGAAACTTGATTAAAAAATAATGTGTTTTGTAAAGAAATGAAAAAATGTATTAATACTGAAGAAAACTATAAATTTGAAAAGTCACTATTCACTTATAATCTATGTAAATGTTCTCCAAAATAAAATTTAATGAAAAAACATTTTTTTTGTTGCCAGGTTTGAAGTTTAATCAGGCTTTAGTTAACCACGACTTGGATTTTTTAACAGAACAAAACACAGAAATGAAATCTGTCATTAATCGCATCAACAATATCAGAAATCAGGTAAATGATTTTTTTTTACATTACACTTTGCATAATTATAAGATTTTCGTGTCTCTTTTAGGCCCGCCTGATTTTTTACGGTATGTTTGGAGTAAAAATGTATCCAAGCTGAAATGAAATTCATGCTAATTTAAAATTGCTTTAATATAGTAAGGGGTAATTTTTATAGTAGTATTTCATGCACAATGCAATATGCAATATGTTACACAATGCAATATATTACACATATATTTATGTTGAACTGATATGTCACATTGCTGTGAGATAGGGGCTTGATTGGAAAGATGTCTCTTCCATAGTTATGTCAGATGAGTAGGAAGAAACTGGAAATTTATTATAACAAATAACAACACACAGCAAAGTAAGCAGTTATAAATAGCTCAAGCAGAGTATAGAGATATGTAAAAGTCTCCTTAGCTCAGTAGAAATGTAACAAATAAAACAATATCGCTCATGGAGTAAGAAGTTTCTGGCTTCCCTGCCTGGCTAGACGTAACCGCATATGCAGGTCCGCCCCCCTTCAGAACAACTCACAGAGGTTTAATCTCCGCTATTGCCTCTCGGAGAAAGCGAAGCACCGCCTGGCATTCACCAGACGGCACCAGTCGTTAATTTGCTACCTACCAGTCGCTCGGGCTACCTATCGCAGCAGGACATTACCCAGCGAACCCGGGGACGCTAACCCCGGGCTAGGACGTGCCAGATACTCATGCGACGTCACTCATGGAGTAGACTTTAAAGCACAGTTTACAATTAATTCAGATAGCTCCTTGTGTCTAACTCTGAAGTAATCAATTCCCACGACTGAAATACAGCCGTTAAATCATTGCTTCGCATATTGTTTTCTGGAAACTTCTAGAGTATCGCCAAACTGGCTATAAATCCTAAATGTCGTTAACTTCCTGTCGGGGTGAGTTTCTGTGTATATATCGACTTCTGAAGGAGTTATTTTCACAACTGCTCGCATTCATCCATTCAGAATCAAAAGTTCTAGAATTCTATGAGAACGAACAAAATAAACCCCAGAATTCCTACATAAAAGGCAATAAATTAACAAGTAATCAAATAGAAACAATACGTAATAATAAAATATTCATTATTATTTTTTTTTCATACCCAGTCAACAATAACGTTTCTTACCCTTTTATCATAGGGAAAAAGAAACGAGTACTTAAATTAACAGAGACACTTTGTGGTAGTGTCGGAACAGTCATCCAATAAGAACAAACCACAACCACCTAACGAAAATCAACGGTCAATTAACGGCGGTTAAAGTTAAAAAAATACTCCCACACATAACCATTAAAAGAGACCTCCGTTATATACAAGCAGGCCTCGTTTGGCGTGCACTATATTTACTTATAACCTAAGCCTCGACAGCTAAACTAAGAAGATCCTATCAAATTAAACTCAAATAAATTAAATTTAAGAAAACCATAGGTCCCGTGATAAAAAATGGTTGCTGTCACATTGGCGAGATAGCGCTGATTCATGGTTGCCAGAAAACCGGTACCAGGGCCGATATTTGGCACCAGACCATCTCTAGAACCTATTTTTCCCCAAGATGTCAATTCCAGATTCATAACTTTATTTAGCAAATGATTGAAAACAATCTCAGATTCATTAACCGATTCTTATTGAATTTACAAACATAAAATGTTTCATATTTATGAAACATCGTTGCATTACTTGATGACGATATTTTATTGTGAAAGACGTAAATTACGATGTTTTAATGGTATAAAGAGAGAAAAAAAAACCTAGAGAAGATTTTCATTTTTATATACAAAGGAGATTTATCAGATAACTGCAGCATGCGAAAAATTATTCAAAAATTTGTTCAAAAGTGATGCTGGGTTTGTTTCATCTAGCGACACAATAAACGGATGATTTTTGCTCGCGGTTGCTTTGTGCAAGTAATACAAAGGCACACTTATATTGAAGAAAAAATTCAAATTCAACCTACTGGTCATGATAAAGTTGCAAACACTAATACAAACAAAGGTATTTAAATATTAACACAACCAACGTAGTAGAAATCGCGAAGTTTTCAGAAAGTGGCAAACTCTACCAATCATGCGCAAAACCATTCCTCGGACACTTATGCTCATAACAATCCCTCAATCAAGCAACTTTGCCAATTTCGTATGCGTTCTTTTTCTTGGAATCCAAATTTATACGGTTTTTATGGATTGTAGAGTTTTTATAGATTTTGAAGCAGAAGTACACAAAAAATGAACAATGCCATCTCCGGGACTTGAACTTGGCCCTCTCGAATACGCACCGAATGTACCACCTTTACACCACGAAGGCATACTGGAAGGAGGGCGAAAATACCTTATATACCATGATGTGTTTTGAATTAAGGTCCATTTTAAAACATGTGCTTGTGGAATTTATCTGAAGGAAGTCTTCTGGAGTGGTTTGGCTATAAAAGAAGAGAGGTGGAAGGCTATTGGAGCCATCCCTTAGGATTTCCTCCATTTAAAACTTGGGCGAAGCTATACGGTTAGTGAGGTGAGAATGTAGAGATTATAAAGCATTTTATTTACAAGCAGAAGACGTGAAAAATATGCAGTGCCATCACCCGGGATTCGAACTCTGGGGCTCCCGACTGCTAGCCGTACTTGCTCCCAATTACACGTTCAAAAGTTAGGAGGGGGGAATATCTTACTCTCCGGCACTTAAAGGGCGACGGAAGAGGTGGGGAGACAACTACCAAATTCTGGTGGTGACGAATTGTTGCCCAAGCTCTTTTAGTACAGGCGTTACTATAGGTATTAAGTTTATCATAGCAGAAAAAAATGAAAAATGCGCAATGCCCTCCCTGGGATTTCAGTTTCCGACTTCCCGATAGCTAGCCTGAGGCGTTTTCCAATTATACCCCAAAGATACGCTGTAAGGAGGGAGGAAATACCTCACAAGACTTGGGTCAAGAGGCACCTAATTCTACAGTTGGACTTAATCTTCAATGAAAAAATGCCCAAAAAAATCTTAAAAAGAAAATACCTCTCTTACAATAAATAATAATATTCCTAATATTAATCCTCTCAATACCAATCTTGATACTTATATGGTACAATTCTGGCGCCATGCCCCCTTTTACTTCTGCCTGTATCTGATGGACTGCATTCTTAAAGTTATGTCAGGTTGTACTTATTGCTCTGAACAACCGGTGTGTCATCCTACATCTACTGCAATAAAGAAAATTGTTAATGTCACATTCCGCACCTTGTATTAGTGAATATGGAAATTTGAAAACCTAAATTGTTTATAACAAATTTAGTTTTAAAGTATCAGGAAAGGACGAAATGAATCATTTTGTAATGATTTACTTCAAAGCCTCGCATTCAGGACTATTCAAACCAGAAACCGGTTCCTAACTAAGGTCTGCGAAACAACTTTCCTTTCAACCTACATGGCAATCTACAGTAAAAGGCACGCGTACATTGCCAGAGCCATAATGAATAGATATAATTTTAAGAAAAGCTTAGATAAACGAAAAGAAATATACAGCGAGATCAGCGAATAAGCCCTGATTTCAAAATTAAATATCTCTACAACAAAGATCGATAGAATTATGCGGTAAACTTTACGTTTATTAGCAAAGCTGTAAAAATGGTGTACAAAAAGTTTATAAAATTTAGTTATGAAAATCGTTAACAGATGGCTCTCTAATCGAAATGGCCTATCAATAGCCTTTAAAATGTGCTTCGAAGTCGAAAGTGATCAGTACAACTGTTGGCTAGTGAAAAGAGGCTAGCGTAGAAAGTGAAATAATGTATTCCACTGAACAATGTGTATTTTGGTTCTGGAATTTCACTTACGGCAACACGTACAGTTTTCAAAACCGATTCAATGTTCCAGTTGGACCCGATGCAAACACCATTCGCATGCTCTTCGCGAAATTCGAATGGACTAGCAGCGTGGCTGATGATCGAAAGGGAAATGTTGGGCCTAAGCAAACTATAGTCACCCCTGAAAATGCAGCCAAAGTTTCTGAATTTGTTCAGCAAAGTCCTGTGAAAAACATCCTTCGGATTGCATCAGAGACAGGTTTGAAGTACACGAGCACACAAAAAAATATTTAAATATAGCCTACGGCTGTTTCCATACTGTTCCCTTGAAAGCTGTGCAACAAAGGGTTGACTTTGAGAATCAGATTCTAACAATGATAGACAACGACAGATTTGATGTGAGCTGCATCTGGTTCACAGATGATGCACATTTTCATGTTGAATGGAAATTGTTAATAAACAAAACTCTGGAGATTTTGGGGTTCCGAAAATTCCTCATTTGTGTGAAGAGAAAAGCACTGCATTCGCCTAAAGTTACTGGCATGGGCTTCGGTATGCGCCAGAGGCATTATCGGAACTCCTTTTTCGTTACGAGAAACGATAACTACTGTGAACGTTACGTTACAATTTTGGAACAATTTGTCAGCACTCAACTAGCGTTGGAGGATCGACTAGGTATTGACTGGTTCCTGCATTAGTTTATGCAAGATGAGGCTCGACCACATCGAACAGATAAAGTTTTTCACTTTTCTTCATGAATACTTTGGGAATAGAGCAATTGCGTTAGATTATCATCAATTTACTGACACAGAGGAATAGCTTGGCCTCCATATTCTCCCGATCTGAGTCCTTGTGACTTCTTTCTGTAGGGACGCACTTGAAAAACGCTGTCTATCGAAACAATCCTGCTACTCTAGATGAGCTTGAATCGTTGATTGGTGTTGCATGTGATTCCATTTCCCTCGAGACATTGCACGACGCGATGTCAAATTTCATTGTTCGTTTAACGCCACCTCATTGTTTCGAACGGTGAACATTTTGGAAAAAATTGTTATTTTGATCTGCAAAGGCTGCTTCACTTTAATTTTTTTTTTTTTAATTAATTTTTTGACTCCTTTTAGAGAGAAGAGTTTCAGTGCAGCGAAGAGCGCCATCTGTTAACGATTTTCGTAACTAAATTTTCTGTAAACTTTTGTACACCATTTTTACAGCTTTGCTAATAAATGTACAGTTTACCGCATAATTCTATCTATTTTTGTTGTAGAGATATTTAATTTTGAAATCAGGGCTTATTCGCTGATCACCCTGTAGATTACTATGCTTTATAGAAAGTATAAGAATAAGATAAAACTTTTATGTCACTTACTCTGTCTGTACAGTAAAACTTGTAGAGCGTGAAAAGTATTTTTAAACCAAATTACTGGGCCGATTTGTGTAGTTTAGACTCATAGCTCTAGAATGAGATCTTCCCATCTCTTCTCTTGAGAAGCATAGTTTTTTTACCTATGCTACTGACAACGCAGTTAAAACTTATTATTTAGAATGATATTTTTTGTTTCTTTTTCTTTAATAATAGTTGTGGGATTCCGAAACGCGGAAGAAGATGGTTCAACTTAATGAAACTCTTACTGATAAAACAGAGAAACTGACAACAGGATTGGATGAGTACCACAAACTGTCCCTTGATGAGAGACAGAAGTTGCGAAATATCTACGGCAGTAACAACGCACCTTTGTACTACCAGAGAATGCTAGAAAAGATCATTGCTTGATTTCCTTTTATTTGCCTGTCTTATTTAAGCACTACAGACTGTTTGTCGATGTTTACGATTTGAGGTTCGTGTATGCAAGTTCATGATGAATAAAAAACATTTTGACTCGATTGGATAACAGTCAGAATAAATTTCGATATTACGTATTTTCATTTTAAATTATGCCTTCTACTGTCTAAACCAGGGATACTCAGCCTTTTTCTTGCATCGACCCCTTTTAAAAAATGGTTTACAGCATGCAATATAATCATAATCATAGTAAATAATAAATAATACGAGCGTTTTTCTGTAACGCTTTTTTTAATTTAATGTCTTGATTTCTAATGGTTTTTGTTCTTCAGTCTGTTCTTTTTGCTTTGTAAACTTACTTAATCCGTGCAGTCAAATGAGTTTTGTCTATCTTAAACATTACTAATTTTCTTACTAATTTTGTTTAATTTAATATCATTATTGATTAAATTTTATAATTTAATCAATAATTAATTAAATATTATAAACAATAAATATTATCAAATATAATAATTGATTAAATATTATAAACGAATATTATTTAGATGCTTTTATTACAAAGTGTTCTTTGTGTTTTCAAATTCATTTCGTTTAGATAAGCAAATGAATTTATTCTCGAGTTTAAAGCTACTCGAAAATAAATACTCTTTAATTTATTTACAACTTGCAAATTTTGTTATTCAATGCAATTGTAACTATGTAAATAAGCTAAGTAAACTATATAAATACGAGTAATATTCTTTAATTCCACTTGTAACTTAATATCTTGATTTATAACGATGCTTATTCTTCCGTTATTTACTATGTTTTCGTTTTGACCGATTTAATACGTAATCAGATCAATGTGTTTTCCATATTAAAGTGCTTGAAAATATAGATAAGCTGTTTTCTGTGGGTAACTATAATATGAATAACTCCTCTTCATTGTATTTTTAACTGCTATCGGTTTAATCCTGATTTTGAATTAACCACGAACGTCGTCCCTGATATTACCTCGGTTAATTGGGAATTAACTGCATTTAATGTCCTGGTAAATTTTTAATCAAAATTTTAAATGCGAAGACATGGGTATAATTTCATAAATCATTTCTAGAACGAAAATTTTAATTAAATCTAGAGAGATTTGACACTTATTACAAAGTGAAGACTATGTTATACACAAGAATAAAATGCGTCTCTATCATTGTGGCCTGCATCGTTTCTTTTGATACGATAGATGTCAATTTGGCTACAGATTGGGAACTTCAAAATGAGGAAAATATGAGCTGAATAGTGACATTCTCCAGATTTTTCTTGAATTTAATATTAAAACCTACATGCTATGTGATCATTAATCACTTCTTTCTTTGGTAAGCAGGGTGAAAAGTATCTATTTGACCATCAACTCTTATAAAAAATGTTATTTTATACATTTCTCATAAACTGTAACCCTTCTTCTTAAATTTATTCATGAAAGGAAAAACAGGTTTATTAAAAATATTCTATACTTCGGGGGTTTTTTTCCCGGGCGTTTTCTAGCAAGAATATGCGAAAATGCTAGCGCAATTTCATCTTTCATTTTACCAATATTAAATATAGAAAAATAGATATATTTCGTTAAATACGCGCCGTTAACTAATTGAACCAGTTTGAATTTAACCAGTTTAAATATTTTAATTTCAGCGTATGTTATTTTTAATACCTGCAAATGGAAGGTTATTTTAACCTTCCTAGTACTTTGTTGTCTAAATTCAGACGAGAGGGGTAACTCACTTGTCAGCCTACAAGGGTCCAAAAGGTATTCATTTCAATTTCTATATATGTAAACACTACAATATCTGAAACTGTAATCATCTTTTGAAATGAATTCAGAACAGATTATAAGAGAAACATTCGCGGGTATAATTTAAATCTAGGCAAGAAGACAGCTTTAATATTAATTTGTAAAAGCTTGCGTTTAAGTCTTTCAGCCTCTTCTTAGGTCAGGATTTGTTTTCATAGCGTTTGAAACTTTACGTAGCGAGCATTATCTTTCCATCCAGGTATAAAACATATCAACATAATAATAATAGAAATAAAAGATCAAAATAAATTTGTCTGATAGTTAAATGAACTTTAATATTATTTTTACAGTTTTGACTGTCTTTCTTGGTTACTCCTTTATGTACACAAAGATTGTTTTTTCGTAAAATCTGACAACGACAAGCCGTAATTTTCATCTATATTTGTGTTTGTTAGTTAAAAGACAACTAAGACTAACTAAATCCAATTATATTAACATATTCGCATTTAATCAATTAGTCTCTATTAGTTTGCAATTACCACACAATAATTACAATTATTTTACTTCGTTACTACTCGACCTTTACAGAACAGATGGATCCACCAGCGACCGAGTGATAAAGTCTCTGAACACTGGTACTTCCGACTTGGTTTCCATTCCAGACAAACGGACTAGCTGCATGGGCGCTTTCGTGCTTTTCCAATGTGTAACGTGTATGCGAGCCAGTTTCCCTTAGAAAATCCACCACGGAAGCATCCCTTCTCTTATTGCCATAATTAAATAACCAAACTAAACCGTAACAGACGGTAAAGACAATGTGTTGTCAGGACGTCAATGATCGCAGTTGAACATGAGATAACACTAACAAAGTTACGAAACAAAAAGGCATGATTACAAGGAATTCCAGTAAAGGATATAGATATTCCGAAAAGAAATATACATTAAAATACACTTTGAAATATGCACAAAAAACAAAATACAAGATATGCAAGTAATAATATTAAATGAAATACTAATTGAAATATCTAACGATACGAATGCATGTTATAATAAAATAGAAGTAATGAAAAGTTAATGAAACAAGAATTTAGATAATTATCAAATATATGCAAAAAACGTTAACTGTAAATCTTCACGTACTATAACTATTCAATTTTATTGCAGTGAGCAGTCTTTTTGTAAACTGAACAGGACGTCCACTGCGAGTAGTTACTGATTTTAGAACAATTTTTGAGTCTTCATAGACTTTAAAAGGTATAAAACTCAGGAATTATTGGTGTAACTATACGTCCCGACAGCATATACGCTGGTTTTAAGCGATCAAGTGAAACCGAATTATTAACCTCTATAATAAAATATGTGTGCGGTTTTTTTAATACCAGCTTAAGGTCCAGTGTAAGGTGGAGTTAGAGGAGTGGAGAAGCGATCCTTAATGCACAAGAACAGGTTTGGAGTGATGGTTGTTCATAAATTGATGGATGAACATGTTTAGAAGTTGGGATTGGTCTACGTGAATGCATGTCTGATCGAAACTGTGAAACATAGGATTGAGAAGAAAATACGGAATTCGTAACATTCAACATATCTGAGGATAATTCGAATGAGGTATCGTAAACAAGTTCGGCACATGTAGTGTTTGTATCGTTTTTAATGGCCGACCTTATAGCCAATAAACTATAGGCAGAATTTCAGTATATTTTGCATTGTGATGAATCTTTCGATCAGTCCATTGGATTGAGGATGGTAAGCAGCGGTTCGAATGCAGTGTGTACCCAAATCCTTAAATAAGTCGTTATTGATACGAGGCAGCTAGATTTAGCTATCCATTTGTGGCCTAAGGCTGATTTGTGGCCTGATCTGAGCAGACATGACTAATAACTTCTGGCCATCTAATAAAGCGGTCAATAATTGTCATGCAATAAGGGTTACCTTCAGACGCTCGAAGAGGATCTAAAAATGAATGGATACCTGAAAAGTTTGTATCAGGCAAGGAAAAAAGTATTCAAAGACGATTTTGAAGCCGCCCAGCCGGTATGGTGATCAGGGAAGCTGACTGCGATGCCAAAGGGCCTGGGTTCGAATCCCGGAGAAGGCATGGTCGTAGCTGTCCGTCCCTTCATAGGAAAGGCGATAGTGGCCCACCTATTAGGTGCCTCCGTAAAAAAGAGACCACCACATCCGGCCTTGTATAGATTAATGGACTGGGTTATTTGTAATTGTTCACAATCTGCCATTGGATGGAAAAAAAAAAAAAAAAAAAAAAAAAAAAAAAAAAAAAAAAAGGACGATTTTGATTGTCTATGAATCTTAGAAGCTTGGCATTGTAGGTAAGACTGAACAGCATTTTAAACAAATTTCTTCATGTTAGGTCAAAAGTATCGCTTCGTGATTAGTTTTGTTGAGGCTGAAAAGCCGGAAAGAGAAAGAAATGAACCTGCTGAAAAGCCTTAGAGCAAAAAGATTCAGGAATGAATGGATGAAGTGTATGCGTATCCATACTGAATTAAAGGAGTAACATCTTCTAAAGGAAAATAATGCGCTTAAAAACTACCGAAGATTGAGAAAGAGGATTTTAAATTTCGGAGTCCTGAAGTGCTTCGGATAATTTCTTATGATCTGTATGCTGATTATCAGAAAGTGCATCTATTTCTACCCTGGATAAGGAGTCAACAATGATGTTGTCACTACCTTTGATACATTAGTGGATAATTGGCCAGTAAAATCAAGATGGCAAAGTTGTTGTGTAGAACTCGGGCTTTTGCTTAAAAGCTTCTATTAGGAGCTTTTGATCTGTGTAGATTGTAAATATCTGTAATGATTGTGTAGATCTACCTTTGACCGTGTGCTAAAATTTCTTGGTTGACAAATATATAGCCATCTCTATCCTACGTCGACCATTTCCATTGACTTTTGTTGAATTTAGCGGATAGATACGCAATGGGTTTCGATACTGAATTACGCAATTACATTAATGAGCTACAAAGGCAGCGTCCGATGCATCAGCAGAGTTCCAAAGTAGCATCAAAAACTGGGTGTCTGAGAAGAGTACCCTCGGCGATTTGCATTGGTGAATGCTTTCTCAGCTTCGTCATCCCATTCGAGAGGGAGTTCTTGTATTTTACTCGGATGTGAAAGGTTTCATTGATTAATGCGGCCTTTCAATAACCTATTTAAGGGAGCTAAAACATATGAAGCTGTTGGGAAGAATTTTCTTAACTGCGTTAAACAGTTCGTCTTACAGAAACTTTGAATGTCTTCTATTCTGTGGGGGTAAAGGTTCCAAAGTAAAGGTTCAAATACGTGGAAACATAAAAAAATGCAAATATGTTACAACAAAGATGCATTTAGATATATTAATTGTTAACCCATGACTACTCCAAATGAGCTTCCAATAGTGCCAAATGTTCAGTTGTGTTCTTTTAAGCAATAAATATATTGTCAACAAACTACCCCTGGAATCTCAGGAGTTACTTCACCAATAAACTGTTAAAAGGTTGCAGCACCGTAGCGCAGCCCATACTGTCTGCTTATGCTCTCA